CAATCGCCAACCAAATCATTGCGTATGCCTCGCTGTCGCCGGCGGTGGTGCATCACGCAACCCAGATCCTCCGAAGTTGGTGCTCGGCGGCAGCGGGGTCGTGTCAGGCAGAGACGAGTGTTGCGACGTGTTTTTTCCGACACGGGGTCCCCGAACATCTCGACCACTTCACAAGATCGTTCTTGCTCGTCCCATGCTGTTTCTGATTCTGAATGGTCTTGGAGCTCAGAGCTAGCCCCTGGGGTATATAATTCCGAAAACTTCCGCATCCTTTTTTCGAGGTCGCGTTGGCGCAAAGGTGGACGGCGTCCTCAGAAGGTGAGAGGTCTTTAGGGCCCTTTAGGGCCCTTTTCTTCACCCCCCACGTAGGTCACCCGACCGACCTTCTGCGGCACTTCTCGACCCAGAACCATTCGCCAGGACCCCGGAACCCAAATCCGGGCGCACGACACGTGGTGCGAAAAAAAATCGGCCGGCTGATCGCACGTAAGCGTGGCCCTTCGCCGCGGAGGCCTTTGGCTTTTGAGGGGAGCGCGGGGGGGATGGGGCAAGCCAGCGTTCGAGCTAGACGGCGTTGTGGCTCTCTCGTGGACCGGTATTCGTTTCATTTCGTTTTGCAGCAAGGGCGGAACGAAGACAGAGCGAGGCAAGCCGAAAACATACGAAAACGAACAACACTGTTTAGCTCGAGCCCTGGGCCAAACCCAGGCGCGTGGGCCACGCAGCCATCAGCGGCGCGCACCAAAGGTCACTCTTGCCCAGGGTCGCTTTTGCGTGGAGCCGCATTGCTGGGTCACCGCCAGGGGCGCGAAGATGGTTGCGCTTCGCGCACCTCGGCCTGGGCTGGCGAGCTGCCCTTCTCCGAGGCGGTGGTGCAAAGGGCGCCCGGAGAACCGCCCCTTCGCCTATCACGGGGCTCGACGCGTGAAGTCGGATGAGCCAGGAATTGCGGCGCCAAGGTATCAGTTCGAACCCCTGCACTGGTGGCTCGACAGCAACCACGACGACCACGACGACCACAGCAACCACGACGACCACGATCGCGATTCACCACGACGACCAGCACGACAAGCACGAGCCCTAAGCAAGAGCGCTCCACGACCACGACAACCACGACGATGACGACCAATCCGGCTGCACGCAGGAGGGGCCCCAGTTTTCTCGCGTGCAGCCGAAATGCGACTCGTGTGCGACGAACGCATCCGCATCCGTGGCCTCGCGAGCCGGGCCCCTAGGCCGCGACTCCGCGGATACGGAAAGCTCGTTTCGAGGATTCTCCGCGCAGAACGTGTCCGTGCGACCGCGTATCCGCGGGACCGCGCCCTGGAATCCAGCTTACGAGGGCGCGAATACGGATGATTTCGCCGTTAATGATGATGATGATGATGATGATGATGATGATGATGATGATGATGATGATGATGATGATGATGATGATTATGATGATGATGATGATGATGATGATGATGATGGTGATGGTGATGGTGATGGTGATGGTGATGGTCATTGTCATGGTCATGGTCATGGTCATGGTTATGGTCATGGTCATGGTGATGATGATGGTGATGATGATGATGATGATGATGTTCATCATCATTATCATCATCATCATCATCATTATCATCATTATGATGAGGTCGACCACGACGACGACCACGACGCCACGACGATGATAATGATGAGAATACTGATAAGGATGATGACGATGATGACGACGATGACGATGACGATGTCGATGATGATGATACTGGTGATAATAATACTGATTGATGCTGTGATGACGTGATGATGACCACGGCGACGGCGACGCCGACGGCGACGTTGACGACGCCGGTGAGGATGATGATGCTGATGATGCTCATGATGTTGATGATGGTAACAATAGTGATGGTGATGAAGATGATGATGCTGCTTTGGTGGTGAGGCTGGCGATGATGCTGATGATGCTGATGATGCTGATGATGGTGATGATGATGATGATGATGATGATTGTGATGGTGATTGTGATGGTGATGAAGATGCTCATTATTCCCTACCTAGGCTCTGCCTAGAAGGGTTCTTACTCTGTTAGCTTAAAGGGGCCGGGCAGTGGGGCTCGCCCCGGGCGGTTCCCCCGGTCCCCACCCCGCGATTCCCCCAGTTGTCCCCCCTTATTTTAGCGTTGCTTATCTCATCTTAGCTTAGCTTATGTCATCGTAGCTTAGCTTAGCTTCATCTTAGCTAAGGTTTATCTTAGCTTAGCTTACCTTCATCTTAGCTTCGCTGAGCTTTAGCATAGCAGAGGACAGCATAGCATAACATAGCGTAGCATAGCATAACGCAGCATAGCATATCATAGCATAGCCCTGCATAGCATAGCATAGCGCAGCATAGCATAGCATAGCATAGCATAGCGCAGCACAGTACAGCATAGCACAGCGCAGCATAGCATAGCATAGCATAGCATAGCATAGCGCAGCTTAGCATAGCATAGCATAGCTTAGCATAGCACAGCGCAGCATGACATATCATAGCTTAGCATAGCATAGCATAGCTTAGCATAGCATTGCGCAGCATAGCATAGCATAGCATAGCATAGCATAGCGCAACATATCATGGTATAACATAGCATAGCATAGCAACTAATGCTGCTTTCCTAGGGGCTCTTCTAGGTAGGGTCGCACTGGGGTAATGGTGATGATGACGATGCTGATAATGATGATGATGATGATGATGATGATGGTGGTGATGGTGGTGGTGATGATGATGCTGGTGATAGTGATGATGATGACACTAATGCTGACAATGATGATGCTGCTGCTGCTGATGATGATGATGATGAGGATGAGGTTGATGCCGATGATGCTGGTGATGATGGCAATTAGTATGGTGATGACGATGATGCTGGTGATGATGATGGTGATGATGGTCTTGATGATGATGTTGATGATGCTGATGACGATGCTGATGCTGCTGATGATCATCAACATCACCACCAGCATCGTCACCATCATCAGCATCAGCAGCAGCATCATTATACTCATCATTACCATCAGCGTCATCATCATCATCATCATCATCATCATCATTATCATCATCAGTATCATCATCAGTATCATCATCATCATCATCATTCTCGTCATCATGTATGTTCGTCTTGAACGCTAGGCCGCTTGGCCTGGGCCTATGGTGTTCCTTTTGGTGGCTTCCTGGGGCTCTGCCAAACCCAGATGTACCCTTTGTGGCACAGCGGGTCGGGCCTGCATGCAGCGTTGTTGGACGACTTGGGGAGAAGAATCAGGCCCCCCCCCCAAGCGCACGAGAAAACATCAAGGAGAGACCCACCTACCTCACGCTGGTCACTCCCGCATGCAGCCGAACCACGACGCCAGGACACCGAGGTGAGCTCGGCGGCGAAGTCCAAACCCTACCCTCGCCGATCAATGAGGAGAATCATTGATGGGATGGGCGCAGCGGGGAACGCATCGGCCCCCATGCGCCCACTGATTGCCGACGAGGTCCCTGCATCCCCTCCGCTCCCAGGAGCGTGGAGTTCGCTAGCGGGGGCTTCTCGGCGATGTATCGCCGATTCAGGCTCCATTCTTCCTCCCCCTGAGCGGTCCTCCCCCTAACGTTCCACCTCGGACCTTGCAGGACGCGGGCCCTCAGGCTTGCCCTCCGCTTTCGGGCTCTCGCAGGGCCGTTATCATGGGCCTTTGGGCCATCACCAGAGCGGCTCGTGGTGGAGAGTTGGTCCGTCGCAGTCTGGGAGGGGGGGCCTCGCAGTCTGGGAGCCGTCGCACATTCGTGGCGGCGGTGCTCTACCCTCACCAAGCTCAGGGAAGGCGAACTTCACTCGACATTCGCATCGCGAAGGGGCCCATTCCCATTCCCACCCATGCCACCCCTCCACTGGAGATGGTCCCTCGAGCGGTGTCCAACGCAGGGAAGGAAAGGGGAGGCGGCAGGGGAAGAGGATGAGAAGGGGATCGGCGCGGGGAGGAGGGGTGGGGGCAGGAGGAGTGCGGGGGAGGACGGGGCAGGGGAGGGGAGGCGGAACCGGGAATGAGAAGAGGAGGAGGACCAGTGCAATTCGGGCGGGTGGTAATGAGGGTAACCTAAGTGGGGGGGGGGTTAAAGAACAGGGCCCAACACGGACACGTTAGGGCCCCTTTTGGAGCCAACAGGGGCCCACAATGGGCCCTAAGGTGCCCCTTCAGGGATCTTTTCTTCACCCCCCACTTAAGTCACCCCCCATTGCCACACTTTCAGGACTGAGGAGCCTAACTGTGTCGACAGTTATTAGATTCCGATGATCCGTACTTCCTCGCGAATCCCTCATGGACGAGGCTCCCGCTCGAGATCCACGCCGCATTCAGGACTGAGGACCTCAAAGTGACGACAGCCACGGGTGTCCGATGACCCGCTCGGATTGAGAACATGAGTTGCGCGCCCCATAGGGAGGGGGCTCCCGCTCGAGGCTTCCGCAGTATGCCCACCAGTGGTTCAGGAATGATGAGCACCAAAGTGACAACTGATACAGGGTTCCGATGGCCCGGTCGGATTAGTAACATGATCTGCGGGACCCATAGGGAGGGGGCTGTCGCCTGAGACTTCCTCGTAGAATGAACTCCCGCCTGAGATCTTACAATTCACTCACGATGATGATGTGGGTGTTTTTTCCTGCGCGGGGGCGTTCATTTTTCAAACAAAAGCCTGTTGTGGTGATGATTGTGATGCCCAACGGCCATCATACGATGATGGTAGTGATGATGTATGATGACGGTGCGATGGTGATTGCGACGATGGTGATGGTAATGGTGAGTGTGAGACATGGTGAGGAGGAGAGGGGGTGTGGTGTGAGGTGTGAGGAGTGAGGATTGCGCGGGGTGTCCAAAGAAAACAAGAGCCCCGCTTAGGGTGTGGGGAAAACAGTGGGAGAACCTGGAATTGGTCGATCTATGTTTTTGTGTGTGTCTCCCTGGGCCCCTGCACCGACCCCCTGTACCTCCTCCGCCGAGGTCGCCAACCTCGGGGTGATGAAGGCGGGCGCCAGCTTTCTGCCAATCGGCACCGACGCGCGGCTCCAGAGGCCATGCGCGGTGCCGATGCGCCACGGCCACGACGATGGCGACGGCGACGAGGACGACCAACTGGCGAACATGTGATTTGGCATGCTGCTTTGTTTGACCTTCATTTGTCGCCGCGCCATTTGTTCCGACGCGCGGCCGTTCGTCTTGTGGGGGAGGGCGCCGCGACCACCAGGGCAAACGCCGCCTCGGACGCGGTGGGTTCGCCGTGTGTTTGGCCGCAGTGCTGGGCGGGACGCAGGGTTTGCTGTGGGTTTGCCGTGTTGTCGGCGTCGTCCGCTTGGGCGCGTCGAGAACAAACGGCGCGGCGAGATTTGTTTCTCGGCCCCCCTACGTTGTATGCCTTCTGAGCGCATGAACCCGCACCCGTTGGCCAGGGTCGTTGCCATGGTAGGTGGGCCTCCGCCAGCTTGACTGAGTCGCGCGAGTTCGGGGGCCTGTCTGCCCAGAGCGTCTCGTAGTAAGTCGTGAGGAAGTTTCGAGCGGGAGCCGTTGTTGTCGAAGTTGGGCCTTCAAGGGCTGGGACTGGGGCCCAAGCCCGCGCTCGAGCGAGCGCTTCGTGGTCAAAGATGATCTGGCCAGCGTCGAGGCGAAAGCGCCCGGAACCATATCCATAGATCAATCATCACGGTTTTGCTTGGCGTGTCGCGCCGCCGGTTTTCGTCCACCACGTTTCGCGCTTCGGTGCGACACGTGAACGTCCTGAGCTCTTCCAAGCCTCCCACCCCGCAGAGCAGAGCGACATGCTATCAGCTTGCAGGGCACAGCGTGTCGCCGGGGCCGCCGCCGCGACGCGATGAGCAAAAACTCTGGACCGCACCAGGCTCTGGAAGTGAGCATTCAAGGAGGGCGACGACGATACGGTTGGGGCGTTCGTTAAGGAATGTGCCCAGGAGGCTCCAGACCCTGAAGGATTCCTTATCTTATGAGTGCGGCGGTGACATCTATGGCAAAGCCTCAATTTGTGTTTCACCGGCCTCGAAACCCGGGGTTTCTTTCTAAGAATTCCCTATCGAATGTCCCCAAAGGAGCGACGGCCTTTGACGATGACGGCGTGGACGTCGACGACGACGTCGACGACGATTATGACGACAAAGACGACGACGGCCACGGCGACGGCGACGGCGACGGCGGCGGCGGCGGCGACCACGACGGTGATGACGAGGGCGCGCGTCCGCACGCGCGCACGGGCTGCGCGCGCCTGCGGCGGCGCCCTCGGGACAGCGCTGTACCGCCCGCGGGCCGCGCCGCCCACGTCCACACCCGGTCGCCGCTGGGCGGCGGAGCCGCTCCAGGCAGTGCGCCCCCGCCGCCCAGCAGCACAGCCGGCCTCCGCCGGACTGGGGCGCCGCAGCCGACCGAATCTCGGAGGAGGCGATGAGGTCGAAGAGATCGTTCTGTCTTCAAGGTGGGTGTAAGTGCATGCGCTTGATCTCAGGTGGTCAGGGCTTCGCCCTCTTCTGCCAGCCCCCTTTCTAGCATAACGGGATACGTAGAGCTATCTCAGGATGTCTTGATGCCGTCTTGAAGACATTGTGATGCTGACGCCGATCGTGGTGGTGATGATGGCGATCATGACGCCGATGGTGATGGTAATGGAGGTATTGCTCATGATGCGGCTGCGGGCGCTGTCGATGGTGATGATGATGCTAATGCTGATGCTGATGCTGATGCTGATGCTGATGCTGATGCTGATGCTGATGCTGATGCTGATGCTGATGCTGATGATGGTGATGATAATGATGATGTTGATGAGGATGAGGATGAGGATGATGATGATGATGATGATGATGATGATGATGACGATGATGGTGATTAGGATGATGATGATGATGATGATGATGATGATGATGATGATGATGCTGATGCTGATGCTGATGCTGATGCTGATGCTGATGCTGATGCTGATGCTGATGCTGATGCTGATGATGATGATGATGATGATGATGATGATGGTGATGGTGGTGATGGTGATGGTGATGGTGATTACGATGTTGATGATGCTGGTGAGGATGAGGATGAAGATGAGGATGAGGATGCTAATGATGATGATGTTGGACGTGATGGTGATGGTGATGATGATACTTACATCCCCAGGACCAAAGTTTTTTCCCCTTGGGCCTGGAACGACGGTGTGAAGTCTTGAGCAGACCCGTATGAGATAACCACCGTCGGATCCCATGAAGTTCGCGCGGATCCAAATGTGGCTTTGGTGTTTGTCTCGGTGGATCCGATTTCCGTCCGCGCGGATCCGATTTCGGATTAGTTGGATCCGTGTCTGGTCTTATGTTTTACGGCGGATCCGACTTCTACCCCGTGTTAAATTTATATAATTAGATTTTAAACGGGGAATCGGAAGAAATCGGATCCGCGGACCCCGGAACCCACCCGGGTTAAGATTCTATGGTGGAAGGGGGTTCGGTCATTAATTTCCAACTCATCATCGGCATTTGTACCTCAAGAAGAAAATCTTTCGTCTTGCGTAAATATGATGATGATGATGATGATGATGATGATGATGATGATGATGATGATGATGATGCTGATGCTGATGCTGATGCTGATGACGGTGATGACAACGACGATGACGGTCATGATGATGATGATGCTGCTAACGATGATGTGTTGATGATGGTGATGATGACGATGCTGATGATGATGCGGAGGATAATGATGATGGTAATGAGGATGATGTTGATGATGATGATTCTGATGATGATGGTTTTGATGTGGTCAAGGGCGTGGCTTGCAGGGACGCGAGCATTGCGTGATGAACGGGGGACCGTGGCCCCGGTAACGCAACGATTGGGTAATGTACGAGGGTTTATGGCCTCGAAGACGCGAACATTGCGCGACATTGACGGGGATTGTGGCCGCGAGGACGCGAGTACTGTATAGTATACAAAGGATAATGGATGCGAGGATGCCAACGAGGCGCAAGTTACAGGGGGTCGTGGCCTCGGGGACGCGAACATTGTATACTTTACAATCGGTCGTGGCCTCGGGGACGCGAACACTGCACAAGTTACGAAGGACCGTGGCGTCGGGGACGCGAACATTGCGTGCTTTACGGCTGATCGTGGTTTTGGGGGCGCAGATACTGACTATTTCATGATGGCTTATGGAGCCGACCGAGGACGCGAACATGCCGTCATGTACGAGAGATCGTGGTCCCCGGGACACGAACGTCCTATAATTTGCGAGGGGCCGTGGCCTCTGGTACGCGAGCCTTGCATAATTTACGGGGATCCTGGCCTCGATGGCGAAGGCACTGTTGAAGTTTGAATGATTGACAGTCTCGGGGTGCGACTATTGCACATTACCAACGATTATGGATGCAACTGTGGGCATTCGGAAATTCAGTAATTTACAGAGGGTTACGATTTCGGGAACGCGACTATCATATAGTTTAGGAGGGTTTATGGCCTCGGGGCGCAAGTATCGCGTAATATGCGATGGACTATGGCTTCGGATGCGCGTTGCATGTATTAACTTGCGATTGTTTATGGCCTCGAGCACGCGATTACATTGCAAGTTACGACGGTCGATTGTTTCGGGGGCGAGAATCACATGTATTCGTTATGTGTCCTACGACCTTCCAAGGAATTCTGAGATCCCCGGGAGGGCGTGGTGTAAGGCTCCTTTGGGGCGCCCCCCCCTTCCCGCGAAGTTTATCACTTTACAATAGGAAGCAGACAGTAGAACCATCACATTGGCAACTGGAAGCCACAACTGGCGCAGGGAGCTGAAGCCTAACCCACGCAGCCTGGTGGCTCCACAAGGGGGCCGGCGGATTTGCATGTGTGTATACTATGTACATTTAATTTGTAGATATATTTCTTCGATCGTTCTTATATCGGACCCCCCTTGGACCCCCTCCCCGTGCATAAATCTACCCTGGGCGTTCCTATTGCCAGATCTTCGAATTTTGGGTTCGCAGTGCCACTCCAGGCCTTCTTCGATCGCTTGCGTGGGCCCCCCAAGAGGCTGCCAAGACAGCCCAGGAGAGCCCATAATCGCCGGATGATCGGTCGAAACCGCCACGGTGGTCCTGAGACGGGCCAAGGCGCTTGCAAGAATCCCCAAGAAAACCGCAAGAGCTTTCCCACGTGGGCCCCGAGAGTGCAAAATCATGGATCTTCCTTAGAGGTTTCAAAGTGTTTGGCGATTCTCGCCTCTTCAGCCTTCGGAGGCTCCCAGACAGCCCAAGATGCTTCTAAGACCGCCCCCACTCCCATGAGCCATATGCGCCCGAAGTCCCATCAGTCCAAACAGCCAGAGGACTCCCCACGATGAGCCATATAAGCCTGGGATGCCCTACGAGCCATATGCGCCCAAATCTCCATGAGCCCTACGGGCCCTATGAACTCTATGGCCCACACGCGTCGAAGACCCTACGAGCCATATGAGCCTCACGAGCCCGCGACTCCGCAGAGCCCAATGAGCCACATCACCCTCTCGGAACTCTGTGAGCCGTACGGGCCCTACGAGCCTTATGAGCCCTGTGAGCTCAATGGTCTCCCATGATCCCTGTGACACGTGCGAGCCCGATAAGCCCTATGACCCCGATGAGCCTTGTGATACCTACACGCCCTACGCATTACACACCCTTGAGCCACATCAGCCTTCTAACAGCCCTGCCCCTACGGGCGCTCGGACCCCCTATGAGCCCTACGTGCCCATGAGCCCTATGAGCCTTATGAGCCCTGTAATGCCCTACGAGCCTCCTGAGCCCTGCGAGGCCCTGTAGCCCTACGGGACCTATGACCCCCGCGAGCCCTATGAGCCCGATGGGTCCTACGAGCCCTGTGAGCCCAACATACCCTACGAGCTATATGCGCCCGTTGCCTCATGAGCCCCTATGAGCCATATGCGCCCACAGCGCCATGAGCCACGCGAACCCCCACGATGAGCCCTCATGAGCCCTATGAGCTATATTCGGCCAAAGGCCCGTG